TCCATATTAGTTTTTCTACTGAATGCTCAAGGAGTTGAGAAAGTGGAAACAGGAAGACTTTCTAAATGTGTCACATGTTAACAGGATGACATAAAAGGCAAAAATAATTATAGCTTTTCTTTTTGAGATGTTTTTAGCTCAGTGTTGGGCCTGATAATAAAGGACAGAAGGGATAGGATGCTGCTGTGGTCAGGGTTTAGGGAGGAAGTAGGATCCATTTGAAGAGGTGGTTAACTGATAGTGCTATGGCATAAATGAGGATGTTTTTTTGTTAAATAATAGGAGAGGGTTTGAACTAATAAGGTGGTTGGAATAATGTTTGCAGCAGCATTTACAACTAGACTTCCCAAAAGCAAATGTGCCCAGTAAGGGTTTTGGCTTAGAGAAACTGTTAGCTTGTGATGTCCTTGAACCTTTTTGTATCAAGGAGTGTATGACCATGCATGCAGTTAACTGGCGTCCTGTATGGTGACCTGCATAAATCCATGGAATGCCAGTAATTTATTGCCAAAATTGCCGATATTTCCATAGCACATGACAGCCAGCAGCCTGCATTTATCCTAATTACTTTTCTCGTTGCATGCCTGCCTGCCTTTTGTATGAGACCATTTCCTGCTGTCTTAGGGTGGTTGCTCTGAATTTGAGAAGCAGTGATCAGAAAGGTGGTGGAGGCATATATGAAATGGCTGATGTGGAATAGTTGATGAGACTAAATCATCTTGTGTTCTATTGTTACAGCTTTTGCTGGCTTACAGAAAGAAACCCCCTGTTTCTGGGAAGAGGGTTGCAGGGATTGATACCTAGTGAGTTGCCACTGTGCTGTGCATTCTTTGCTTCTTTGACTGTAGAAGATCTCTGCTGGGTATTTGACAGATCTGCAGTGACTTGGTTTGTCATCTGGCCAGCTCATGATCTGGGGTGGATACAGTGTAAATTCCTATCCAGAGTTTTCTGAAAAGAAACTGTTTCATCTAGAGAGCTGCTTCACCTGTGCTTTCCTTGGGCCTTGTTGTTGAACCCTCACGCCTTTGGTTGGCTTACCCTTTTTGCTAAAGTTTCTTGGTTTAGTTGGTTCATAACTATTTTCCAGTTACTGCTTTGCATGTTTCTATACCATCTCCTCCCGAGCTAAGATATTTTGCTGAAACTCTTAAATGGGGTGCTGCTTTTTGCAGGCTGGATCCTCTTGGCAAGTTCTTCTTGTCTGGGTAGAACTTTCTTCCTTGTGCTCAGGGAGCTCCACACACCCAGTAGCAGTCTCCAGAGTGAGCTTGTAGATCTTGCCTTGGGTGACTGCCCCAGACCAGGTACAGCAGTTCAGTTTTCCAGTCTTCATCACTGTATTAAAAATGGTAGTGTTGCAGAAGAGGAGCTGATGCACGCCAGGTTTTGAAACATGGCGAGAGGAGGACTGAAGTTCCAGAAATTGGGGATTCTATGTAAGCAGCAGCAGGAGTCTCATAATATTCCTTTCTCATTTATGATGAATGAATGACCAGAGCTTTGGAGTGGGGGTAAGGCAGCAGAAGGAAACCTTTGGGTTCCTTTGTATGAAAGTTGGTTTCCATCATCATCTTGGTACAGTGGAGTGAGAACAAAATCTTGTGAGCAAATTAGGCAGGGAGCTTGTGTTTAGCATGTGCTGGTTTCCTTCTGCTTACACAGCCACACATGGAAAGATGACAATACCAGTCTCTCTTGCTCTTCAGCTGTGAATGCTGCCTTGCCTCAGCCCTGTCCATGAAGCCAGACACCAGAGCCATTGCCAGATGTTTTAAGTTGTCTTTTTTACCCCCTCAATTGTCTCAGCAGCTATAAAGTGTGTATGTTCCTGAAGAAAAAAGCTTGGGGCTCTTAAATTGTCAGTTAAAGTATTTGGTTTTGTTTTGTGGAGTTTTTTCAGTTGCTTTTTCTTTGCAGTTGGTTTGAACCTGGCCTGGCAACAAATGCAGGTGGCTGGAGGGCTGGGAGGCAGAGGCAACTCCTTGAGCCACAAAAGCTTCTCCCTCCCACTGGGAGGCAATTATTTAAGATTTGAATCCGGTATCCTTGCTTAGGGTGAAATGCAAATGACTGGATGCATGTTAAAAGTGTACTGTAACAGAGTGTGTGGGAGCCATTTCTGGCAGTTAAGAGTTGCAGTTAGTAGCTGACTGCATTGGTATTGTTCTGGTGTCTGTGTGAATCTGCATGGCATGTTCACCTGGATCATCCCACGATCCCTGTTAGTCCAGCCAAGTGCTGCTTCATGAGGGTTAGAAAACAGGATTACTGTGGAGGCCTGGGGCGGGGGGATGCTGCTGCTCCTCTGTAGCAAGGGAGTGCCAGCACAGGACCAGGACCATGTAAATCTTTAACCAGCTGGACGTGTGGGATCTGTTCAATGCCGAAAGGGGTTGTTACCTGCCCAAAACAGTTTGGAGAGCTCATTCTCAATCTCCACTTTCAGAATGTTTTCTTTCCTTGCTCTTAAGGTCCACGTCTAAACAGGGACCTAACAAATTATGAGGCAGTTAATCATGTGCTTGGCAAACGACATGTCTCAATCACCTGTCATTGTGTGTTTTGGAAAAAACAATTTTTGTTGCATCCTTTGGTGCTCACTGAGTCTCTGTTAGAGCTGTTGGTGTTCAGGAGTGTAGAAATGGGTGATGTTCTTCATTAGTTTGCTGTCGATGCCTGTAGCGTGGTGAGGTGAGAAAAATAAGATGCAAATTTAAGTTTGAGAATGCTTCTGTGGGACAGTGTAGCCACAAAAGCTTTACCCGGAAGATAAAGTACTCCCCTTGCGTGTTCAAACATGCAGTTTAAATATTCAGTGAGCTAAGGAGAGCCCTGACACCACACTAACAACAATTTCTGTTTGGTCCTGTAGAGACATGGTGAAAAACTGGCCAAGATATAAAAAAAGAAGAACTGGATAATGTTTGTAATGAAAATTCTGCTATCTGAGTTCCATATATTTGGACTTCAGAGCTCAGTTTTCCTCTTCTCACAGAAATGTTTTCTCAGCTCATACACTAAAACATTCACGTATATTGACTTATTTTACTCTTTTCTGCAAATACTTGATTTTAGGCATCATGTTTCTGGCATGTTAGGGGTTAATGTGTGACCCAGGCTCACTGCCATAATTTGTCAAATCTCTAAATTTTTTTCTAAGTCAGCCCATGTTTTTCAAACAAAATTATTAGTAAGAAAAGGATTTATGTGCAAGTTGTAAAAGTTGTCATCCTTATTTCTTGCCTAACTGGTGGAGTGAAAGCTCTGTTGCTCTGAAACCAGGGGAAAATCACTGGAAGTTTGTGGAAAATGTGGAATTGTATCAGTCTTCAGCTAAAGTGTTAATGTACTTTTGAGTAACTGCATCTTAAAAAAGAAGTTTCTAAACAATAGCAGATACTGGAAAGTGATTCTGTGTTGGTAGCAAGGATAATATTCTGAATGAGCTAGGTCTGCAGAAAGCAGCTTGTTTTTTGGAAATTAGTAGTAACTCCCAAAAACATGA